TTCTCTTGCGCCAAGGAATCTAACACATTCAGAGGTCTGGGGATTAAGACATCTTTGAGGGGGAGTCATTCTGCCCACTGTCAAGGGCAGGTACCTGTTCCATGGATCCAGCTCTCTCCTCCCAAGTGCTTGGGAAATGCTGGGAAAGAGTGGGAAGCTGGCATTCCTGCTTTCTCACATTCCCAACATGGTAGAGAGGTTGGGCCATCAACCTGAAGCCTACCCCCTCAAAAGCATCCAAAGAACAATGAATTAACTCTTTCCTCAAAGGGCACATCCCTGACCCAGTTTCACTCCATCGGAGTTCAGGGTGAAGGTGCATTTTCTCCCAGATGCCCCTTCTATGGTCTACCTTCCAGTCCACTCCTTCTTCCCTCCCTTCTCAAGGACCAATTCCTTGTAGCTTTGTCCTGCTGGACAATGTGTATGAATGAGGTCAGGCACTTGTCTCATGCTTCACAACTGGCTTTTGTCCTGCTCATGACTATTTGGAGACCAGTTGTTCTGTGGAGTCAGGAGGGGAGGATGAGGGACTTTTAGGAGACTGAAGGGCACAGGTGGAAGCCTGTAGGTGGAGCGATGGGGCCGCAGCCACACAGGGATTGGAACTTGGGAACAGAGCACAGTGAGTTCAAGGATAATTTCAGGAAGTGCAAGGGAGCATGTCTTCTCTCTCAAGAAAACCCCCTGTGAAATGCACATGACAAATCTTGCTCAAGGCAGGCAGAAGGAGAGAACAAAGCCAGCCTGCATGGGGGCCCTGACACTGCTTGTGGGGGAGGGGATGAGGCAGAGGGTGAGGGCATCAGACTCTTGGATACTGATGGGGACTGCCAGGGGGACATATGTGAGCAAGGGCCCAATGGTCCACTAGACCATGTGTCCACTGTTCAGGGTGTATGAGATAGTGCACCTCCTATGTGCTACCAGATGGGGTTCAGAGTTGGGAGAGACCCCTCCCAAGAGAAGCCAGAAGGTATTCAGCCAGGCTGAATGGTAATATGAAATGTTATATGAGATGAGCTTGAGAGAGGGCAGAATTTATACAAGGTGGGACAGAAGTAGAATCAAATAGGCAAAGGGAAACCTTTGGTCCTGGCTGGCCTGCTGCTGAGGTGGAGGGGATTTGGGGGAGGCAGCCGACAAGCAGGATGAAATCAGGGTGCAGAGGTGCTGGAGCCCAGGCTAAGGCTGCTGGGAGGCCCCTGAATGCTTCGCCTTGGGCAGCATGGCCGTGCCCTCAGAGGGGCTTTTGGGCAGGGACCGGGGCTGGCCTGTCCTCCAGGTCTGGGGGCGGGAGTGAGGGTGGACAGGAAGGGCCTGGAGCGGCCCCTGAAGAGGGACTCCACTCCTGTCAGCACGATCCCTGCTCAGGGCCCTGCTACACAACCTTCACTTTGCGCTTTTGACCTTTGTGAAGTTGCCCCTGCTTGGGTCCTGCTGTGACTGTGATGTGGGGAGTCCGGGGGACTCCAGGGGAAGATACATCAGTCTGAACAGGAGAAACACAGCCCCCGCCCCCACCATGGACACCCCCGCACCCTCTGAGCTCTGGTCAGGGAAAGGGCAATGATTACATTTCAGAGACAGATGGGGGTCCCTGTTAGGTGAGGACTCCCCGCGTCCTGCTGTCAGAATTAAAGTCTGGCTCCCTCCCTGCTCTGAACAGGTCGGGAATCTTGGCCTTCAATGTAGCAGCAGAGAATCCTCCTGTGTGGATCCTCCTGGTACCTCCTTTCCTTGCCACCCTCAAGTGGCTCTGCCAAGGATAAATAACTATTACATCGCTCAGGACTCTGGCCAATGATGGGTTTTCCAATTCCAGACCAACCAGTAAGCATAAAACCTGGATTAAATCAACAAGTTCCAGAGTGTGTCCACAAGGACAAAGCCCCCGATGGGCCAGCTGCACAGAGGTCTGCCGATTCCACCTTCTGCTGCATCAGTGCCTCCAAGAAAGAATTCCTTGAACGTAAAAGATGGAAAACAGGGTTGGACCATCGCCCGACCCGTATCTGATCTGTTTGCCCTGTATATTCCCTATTAAAATCTTTGGCTTTCTTGCGCTCCCTGGAAATTATTTTGTTTGGACATTCTTTCAATATTTTATATGTGAGAGGACAACCCTTCCATTCTAGAGGGCGGGAAGTGACTCTAAATCCAATGCTAGAATCCGAATGTGTCTTAGAACTGGGTGGTTGTGAGTATAAATTTGTTGAAACTCATTGAAGTCACTCTTTCTCCCTCTGTAAGGAATCAATGTTTTGCAGGGAGGGGCTTTGAAACAATGCAAATATTCCTGTCCCCTTATCTACATCGGTGGCCCTCCAAGCACAGGGGATTCACCCAGTCGTCACCAGAACAGTTCATTTCTGTTCCCCCATTTGTCCCTTGGCCTCACTGGTCCTTACGTGCAGGGGCTCCATGGACTGTTTGGACTTTTTCATCGAGATGGACAGATCTGTCCCCTTCTTGCCTGTGACGCTGCCCATCCCCCAGGCAGCTCACACCCACCATCACCCACTCCTGGGTTTGGCCTGATCTTTGGCCTTTCCATGCTCCCACACCCCTAACCTCCACCCCCCATCTCACCCCAGCTGAACAACGCAAACCCAGGATGCTGGGCTCTTTGTGTTTAACTTCCTCCCACTTACTCATCAAAAACTAACAACACAAAAACAGCCCTTTTCTTTTTAAATTTCAAAGTTATACATTTTCCTCTCAACCGTTTGGTTTTTCAGGGGTGTTTTTTTTTCTCTTTTACTTACATTTTTCCTGGGTTCTGTTCTTTTTTGTCTCTATATTTTGTTTTGAACCATTTTGGGGACTTATATCTCTTTTCTGAGCTCCTTCCTTGGAGAGGTCATGTTGTCTGTAATTTCTCTTAGACTGAGCCAAACTGGCCATCTGGACTCCTCCTCTGTGTCCTGGGGCCGTGGTGCTCATGAAGCAAGTTCTCCAGCTGCATTTTTTTTTAAATAATGTATTGTCAAGTTAGCTAACATACAGTGTATACAGTGTAGTCTTGGCTTCAGGAGTAGATTCCCATGATTCATCACTTACATACAACACTCAGTGTTCATCCCAACAAGTGCCCTCCTCAATGCCCATCTCCCATTTGCCCCAACCTCTAACCCTCACCCCCGTCAATCCTCAGTTTGTTCTCTGTATTTAAGAGTCTCCTAGGGTTTGCCTCCCTCTCTGTTTGTAATTGATTTTTCCTTCAATCCCCTATGGTCTTCTGTTAAGTTTCTCAAATTCCACATATGAGTGAAAACATGATATCTGTCTTTTTCTGACTGACTTATTTCACTCAGCATAATACCCTCCAGTTCCATCCACATTGTTGCAAATGGCAATATTTCATTCTTTTTCATTGCCGAGTCATATTCCATTGTATATACATACTACATCTTTATCTATCTATCAGTTAATGGATATTTTGGCTCTTTCCATAATTTGACTATTGCTGATAGTGCTGCTATAATAATTGTGGTACATATGCCCCTATGAATCAGTACTCCTGTATCCTTTGGATAAATTCCTAGTAGTGCTATTGCTGGGTCATAAAGTAATTCTATTTGTAATTTTTTGAGGAACGTCCACACTGCTTTCCAGAGTGGCTGCACCAGTTTGCATTCCCACCAACAGTGCAAAAAGTTTCCATTTCTCCACATCCTCGCCAACATCTGCTGTTTCCTGAATTGTTAATTTTAGCCACTCTGACCAGTGCGAGGTTGTATCTCATTGTGGTTTTGATTTGTATCAAAACATCATCACTGATGATGAGTGATGTTGAGCATCTTTTCATGTGTCTGTTGGCCAGCTGGATATCTTCTTTTTTTTTTTTCCAATATATGAAATTTATTGTCAGATTGGTTTCCATACAACACCCAGTGCTTATCCCAAAAAGTGCCCTCCTCAATACCCATCACCCACCCTCCCCTCCCTCCCACCCCCCATCAACCCTCAGTTTGTTCTCAGTTTTTAAGAGTCTCTTATGCTTTGGCTCTCTCCCACTTTAACCTCCTTTTTTTTTTTTTCCTTCCCCTCCCCCATGGGTTTCTGTTAAGTTTCTCAGGATCCACATAAGAGTGAAAACCTATGGTATCTGTCTTTCTCAGTATGGCTTATTTCACTTAGCATAACACTCTCCAGTTCCATCCACATTGTGAATATCTTCTTTAGAAAAGTGTTTGTTCATGTCTTCCGCCCATTTCCTCACTGGATTATTTGTTTTTCATGTGTTGAGTTTGATAAGTTCTTTATAGATTTTTGATACTAACCCTTTATCTGATATGTTATTTGCAAATATCTTCTCCCATTCCACTGTTTGACTTTTAGTTTTGTTGATTGTTTCCTTTGCTGTGCAGAAGTTTTTATCTTGATGAGGTTCCAAAAGTTCATTTTTGCTTTTATTTCCCTTGCTGCTGGAGACATGTCCTGACATGTTTCCAGCTGCATTTTGCTGGTGCTGTGTTCCTCTCCTTGAGTCTGTCAGTGAGGAAAGGTGCTGGTCCATTTTCAACTAGAAGCTTCCTTTGAATGTGGTCAGGGCACTGCAGAGAGGGTTGGGTGGGCAGGGGGGTGTTCTACAGCAGCAGGTGACTTCTTGTGGGGAACACCTCCCACCAGTGCTGACAGCTCCAGCCCACATGATTCTGATTCACACCTCTGAAAAGGGCAATACCTCCAGGCCTAGGAGCCCATGCATGTTACCACGTGGGGAGTTGGCCCCAGGTTCCCACCATAGGGCTGTGTCTCCTAGGGCTGTATCT